GCACTGGATATTTATCAACTTTTTCTTGGATTATGGCAGCTGGTTATTTATAATTTCCTTAAAAATGCAATTTGTCCCAGTAATAAGGTCTTTTAAAAAATATCAACACTTAAAATGGTTGTGATGCTCTGCTAGAAAATAGATGTTTAGTTTGCTAGTCTAATGCTAGTACTAAGATTTTCAGGTCAAAAAGCAATGTTCAGAGCCTGGCTTATCTGTTAGTATAGACAGTGCAAGAAGTCTGCAAGTCTGCAGTAGGATTTGAATGTTTGGGGAATACTGTGTTTTAAAGGATAAGTTTCTGTATCAAGTATCTATGTTCTTCTGTGTCGTGTAGTTGACTCCTTATAGTAAAACAAAAATACACACACTCTCTTTCCTCCTTTAGTGGACATAGTTGTTGTTTGAAGATCAATTTCATTTTTTAGGTTATTTATAGGTATATTTCCTTAACTTTTACTGGGATTGTTTTCTCTTTCTAAATGAAAGATAAGCGTTTGTATGGAGACTGTATTGTGCTTTGTTTTTTTTCTGCAGTGTTGTTGAAAAGAATTGCATTTAAAGAATACAGGTGTAGTTGGTGTTCTGTTAGTATTTTAACTGTTTGTTGTGCTACATTTCTGCATTTTCTAATCTCTTCTGTAGACGCTGTGCTTGGTTGAAAAGAAAAACCTGTTCCCTTGATAACATCACTTAACCTCTTACGGTCTTTTCTAGTTGGTAGTGTAAGCATATAACAGGTGTTCCTTGAAAACATTATTAGTTTCCAATATGATCTTTATTAATAGAATGTTATTAGAAAAGGGATGCTGAGCTAAGATAATTTACACAGCAGGAACAATTAAACAGCGCCCTTCTATTCTGCTCTTTCACAGGTACAGAAGTAAACCAACCTAGAATCTAATGTGTAGTAAGTGAGCTGAATCTTTTAAAGCACAGCTGTTTCATTTGCTTGGTGTATTTGTCATAGCCAGTACTTTTGTCTTGCGTAACTTCAATACTTTTATCTTTTCCAACAGCAAAAACTCCCCATTTCTTGCGTCTTCAGAGTGTGGAAGTCAATGCAGGACAGTTTGCTACTTTTCAATGCACTGCCAATGGTGGAACAGACTCAGGTGACAGACTCTGGTTACAGGTAATTTCTTTCTTTCCTGATGCACTTAGATCTAGAGAGAGGAGAGACTCTTGAGAGGAACGTAAAACATGAAAAATTATAGGACTGTCCTTTTCATCAATATTAGATTTTATAGTGCCTTTGAACTGCTGCATAGTAGGTATTCTGTTGTAGAAAATTATTCTGGAAGATTTTTCGCTCTTGTTTCAGTGGAATGCCTTATTAAAAATAAAGATACTGTTTTTCTTACATGTGGCAATCATGAGTAAAGGCAAAATCCCCAAGGAAGAGCACATGACTTTCTTACAAGGTCTGTGCTGGCCAACTGCTGTATTACACATAATTTACCTCTATCTCTGCTTAGTATTTTCAGCTAAAATTGCATTGTTAGTCTTTAAGTCTAGAGAAGACCAGTATGACAGTCAAATCTGACCTTCTCTATTACAGAGCCAAAGAATCTTACTTATATTCATTGAGTCCATTATTTATTACTTAATCAGTAAAGTAGCTTCTAGATAGGTGTCAGATCCTGGTTTAAAGTATTGCTCCAACTCATTTTCTTTCAGTAAAGACATTCTCCCTTACCCAGACGTGTAGTCTTCTATCAAAAATATGCCTTTTTTTACTTGATCTCTTTTAGTAATGGGCATGCAGGTTTAACTGCTGTCTTGCTGCCATCATTACAGAGTTGTTCCCTACAGCAAACAATTAGTCAGTATTTGAACTTAGCATTAGGTATATACCTACCTCCAGATCCCAGTGATTTTCATACGTGGAAAACAACATGCTAGAACTAAGACATTGTCTATGAGAAGGAAGTGAGGGCAATTAAAATAAATAAAACAGTGCCTAACCAGATCAGTCAGATGAAGCTGCAGTTAGTGGAGAAGGAGGAATAAGAGAGTTTGAAGCAATGGTAACAGGTGGGACTTAGAAATGAAATTCTCTATTTTTGATGTTTAAACAATTTTAGGCTTTTCCTATAGTTTTCCTTTAACATTGCATTTGTATTTCATAAATTATTCATGTAAGTGTGACAGGTTAAACAGCTGAGTACTTATATGTAATCTAGCACGCACAAAAAAATAAGTAAAACCACTTGAAAAGCAAAGACATATTTATCTGTATATGAATGATGAACTGTTATGTCTATTCAGAAAGAGCCTGATCAAACACAGTAGAAGGCAATGAAAATCTGCTTTGGCCTTATTTGGGTTTTATTTTCAACCTCTGTGCTGATATAAGGCTGATATTTCTCTAGCACCTTTAAAGACAATATTACACTTTTGAATTGGTAGAATTAGACTCCTGTGTTTCCTAAACCACCAAGATTTTTTTAAAGAATGATTTTTCCACTCATGAAAAGGGTTTAACATGTATGAGAAAATAATGGGTTTCTATTTCATCAATGATATCCTTTGTAGAACCTTTGAACTTTTGCACAATTCTCTGTTGTGAAATTGAAGGTAGAATTCAACATAGGGATATCCTTGTTCCATTCAGTTTTTCCATGTGTTTCAGGACAGTATAATTTCAGCTTTAATTTTTTTTCGTGGAGTTTAGGACATACATAAATTCTTTACAAGGCTGGAATGTAATGTCTTTATTGTAGAAATTAAATATCCTTCTAGGTTTTATGTAACGTAAAACAATTTTCTTAACAGCAGTAGCAATGCCCAAATATCTTTGCTGAGCTTAGTTAATTCAATTCCTTGTTTATGCATGATTAGGAGATTTCTTTTTTATATGGAGGATAAGAAAATAGTGACAGATTGACTTTTTGAGGAATTTTATCTTCCTGCAGGGACACTGTGTATTTATTCTCCCTATACAATTAGAGGTCCCTCTGGTAATGAGTCCAAGGTTGTGCATATTCCAGGTGTGCCTTTGCATAAGAACATTTTAGAAGTTGACAAGATCTCCTGGATAGCTTGGATTCATTTTTGTACTTCTTTGCCAGTTTCCACAGATGTCTACTGCAACTTACAGTAAGACTGAACAAACAGCTCTGTGTGTGGGATGCTGCAAATCAAGGCTATGAGATACAGTTCCTGAAAGGATTAGCTTTATTTTAGCGTACTAGGTCATTATGACCTATATTTTATGTATATGGGTCCTTTCCAACTCAGCATTTTCAGTGATACTGTGGTTATCAGGTAACAGATCCTCAGACCTTGCAATTCTCCATCAGTCAGCTGACTGACTATCTGGTTTCATGTTGTGATATCGAGGAATTTTTTATATGCCTGTGTATGACATCTCATGACGCTGCCACAGGACCATGAGTACAATGCAGCTGTCTGTAATAGCTGTCAAAGAACATGGCATCTTCTACATCACATGACTGCTCAAATGGACATTAAAGATACTTTCGCTCCTGGTAGCGCTAGAACCAATATGAAACTACAGAACATCCCAGTGAAAGAAATTCTTATGTACACTAGAGCCAGAATAAAATGAACACCATTCTCTGGAAATGTTTCCAGTAGCACTCAGGTCATAGGGATTCAGATTTTAGTGGTACTATGAACAAATCACACAATCTCTCTGGTATGTCTAGTTTGTTCACCAGTAACACTAAGGCTTTTCTACTGTCCTTTTGGTGGTTTGTTTAATTACATTTATAAAACCTTAAGGGGAAATAATAGTAAATAAATAAATACAGTTGAGTGATTTTATCAGGGGCTTCTCAGGATTTCTTCCATGTAAGTCATATCAGGATGCTTAATCTGTCTGGATGTGGCAATTCCAGAATACTGTGAGATAATTTGCTCCCAAATGACTTCCGGTACCTGTCTTTTTTTTTTTTTTCAGATTGACATTGTTAGTCTGAAATACAGGCAAATTGCAAGGGTGAAATCACAAACTCACTGAATTCAGTGATATTTCTGCTCTTTCCACTGGTGGCAGGATTTTGCTCCTTTACTTCTATCTTTTTTATATAGTACCTCTCCATTTCTATGCACCAGACTTCAAGTTTAGTAGGACACATTTTTATGGTGAACAAATATTTTACTTTTTACAGTCTGTTAGACTGTGAGTGACATATGTTCCTTAAAACAAATGAATAGTTTTAAAGTTGATTGGTTATTTTAGTATCCTTGTCTTTGGCGAGTAGTTTTGGAAATAGATGTTCTTGGTTTAATAATGCCAAGGGCTTGAAGCAGTCTTAAGTGAAATCCGTAGATCATTTTTTTTTGCGCTCCCCCCCCTCCGCCTTTTCAAACCTATCCCACTCTTATTCCCTAGGGAATGTGAAGTCTGTTAATTTCTGGAGTATTATGAAAGTTTTTGAAATTGCAGGGGTGATGAGGGAATCACAGTTAGTACAATAGCTGCCCAAATTAGACCACTGAGGCATGAAATTTGTTTCGTGATGCTGTGATCAGTATTTACTCTTTCGAGAAGGGGAAGAAAGCAAGCTGTTTACCCATTGCATAGTGTAGTGCTTTGTAAGAAAAACATTGTTCTTCACTCCACTAGACAGACATGCACCCTGGTGCATGAGCTACAATTGCAAGCTTGTCATATAATTTGAAAACAAGCTGTGAGTATTTTCAGTGATACCATTTCAGGTTAAAGTAAAATGAAAGAACACAACACAGTATCATACAACTTTGTTATTTTGGGGTTTTTTTTGGTATTTTGTTGATTTTGTTATTGTAATGAGGGTCCAGTTAATAAGGTCATTTGTTAGATTGTCTGTTTATGAATTCACGTCCCTATTAGCTAACATTCTAAACATAAAAATACCTTAAAAATAAATCTGAATGTCTGTAATTAATAGATGCGTCCAATCTGCTTTGATTTTTTCGTATTTGTGGGCAATAATGGTTATTGCCAGTATGGGATGACTCTTTCTCTTCTATTGAATGATTGAGCAAAAATGTCATTCCTGTGCTCTTTCCTTTGCTCCCATGGTGGAAAGAAATGAACAGGTGGAACACAAAAAAGTTAATGGTCAAATGAAAGCAGCTGAGACAATGTCTTCTGAAAAGGCTGTGTTAGTATTTAGTAAATTGTGGAAACACAAATCTGTGTTATAGGAGAGAGGGGGTAGAATTCTTTTTTGGAAGTAACATGTTTTTGGTGCAGCCTATGGGCTGCAAACAATTGGCTTGTTTTTCCTTAGCTGCTCAGGCCTGGCTCCTTCTCTTCATTTTCCTATCTTCATCTGCTACTTCTCCTGATTTGCAGTGGGTTCACTCAGTTCCCTCGGTATGCTACTTGTTCTTACAACGATCTAGAGTGTGACTTCGGGGAAATTGCTGTCACATGATACCCCGGTATTATGAAATTCCATTTTAATATCTTTCCCAACACAATATTTTTACATTATTTTTTAAAGATTTATTGTAGTGTCACTAAACGTGGCATTTTTTAGATGTGCCTTGACTCAGTGTGGGTAGCCTTTCTTGGGAGAGGTTCCCAAAACAATGGAAAGCTGCAGTTGATGAGAAAGAGAGGTCATCACTTCACTGAAGTTATTTATTTTTTCTAGCTTCATTCTAAAATATGGTTGAAAGGTAAACAAATATTTTAAAATGTAATTCTCAAACACATAACTTTTATTGCAAAAATAGAGAACTAAGAGTAAAAAATTTGTTGGAGGGAAGCGAATAGCAATAGGATCTCAGGATATGTCTGACAGCTGTAGTAAGGGTCTCATCAGATTTACCAATAGCAAGAGACTAATGGTTGTTCTCTGATAGAAGGGGAGAGGGTGAAATCTGTCATACCTGTGGTTTATGCATGCAGAACACGTACTGCGTTATTTGCAGCCAAGAAACTAAGAACAGTATCACTCCTGCGGCCAATCTCTCCTCTACCCCATGTAAAGAGTTTATTACCTGTTAATCCAGGATTTGGCTTTTCTTCTTGTCTTTCCTGAAAGCTGTCTTTCACCTTATTCACTGTATCTTTTTTTGTATCTTCAGTAATCTTTTGCTGAAGGTATGAAGGGTATCAAAGATTTTATTCATCTGTATACAAAACTACCTGTATGCATTATTTATTATTTTTTCAAAGGAAGAGATATAGTCCTGTGTCAGAGGGAGTTCTGGAAAGCAAATTGTTTTCTTCAGGAATACACACATACACAAATGAGAGGTATCAAACACATCCTTGTAAGAATGTAGAACCATCCTGACAGATGATGAAAATAAAATATATTGAGAAGATATACAAAATAGTTTGTGTGTGTGTGCACACGTGCATTTGTTTACGTAAATTGCATAAAATATCCTAGAATGTGAACCAAAACTCCTGGAGTTTCATAAGAACTTTTTTGTTGTGCTGTAAACTCTCTGAGACTGTCGCATAATTACTATTTTTGTTGCCAAGTTTTGAAGTACTTGAGGAAAAAAATGTTTCAGCCATTTTTGAGTACTAAGATAATGAAACACTACTTTACCTGTTAGATTAAATCATATGCATATGTAACAACTTGGTAACACAAACAGGTGGAACTATTAAAGTAAACTGTACGATGGGATGGGATAGAAGACATTCTTTTGAATATTAAAATGTTTGGGGTTTGATCAGTAGGTGTATCTGTGTACTACAGGAATGCACAAGAACATTCTTCTTCCTGCTCTTAAATAGGACAGTCTTCTGAGACTGGCCAAGCCACCTTGTGCTCAGCAAATTGTCTTGAGTCCATTGCCTTGGGAAGAGCTTTAATGACATCAGTCAACTAAAAATTTTGCCAAGATTACATGCATCCTGAATGTGCATCGTGATGTGTTTTTTTGTAGATAAGCTGAGATGATGTTGCTTTGGAAGGATAGTTAATGGACACTAACCATTACTGCATAGATGAAAGTTAAACTTTTTTTTAAATTCTGGTGACCATTTAATATTATTTCCAGGTTTTGGTATGTTAATTTCTTTGTGTCCCCATCTCCACTTCAGTATATATTTAGTGGCTTTCTTGCAGTATATATTCTGTATTTTCTATTAATTAATGTTGATCTGTTTTAATTGTTTTTCAGTAATTGCATAGTAATCTTACTATATGGCATAAAAACTTCCATGAAGAACAGATTATAGGAGAGGCTTGTGATCTGTATCATATTCATGTTAGCCAATGTCTAAGCAGCTGTGATATTTGATGAAAAATTTTGCTTCATTATCTGTCTTAAATATGAATAATCTGATGCCTACTGGGAGAAATTAATTCATAGTGGACTGTTAAGGATAAATCCCAGTGAACATATGCAAGAAATAAAAAGTCATCTTAAAATCAATCTATCTTATCTGTGAAGTGTTTTGACTTCAGTGGTGTTTTAGAGCTGACCAGCAGAAACACCAGCCTGGTGTTTTTATTAGTAAACCACGGGCAACAACATTTACAGAATGTGTTTGGAGTGCAGTGGGAATGTACGTTAAGGGTAACTTTCCTTCTTGGACACGGTCTTTTCCATTATAAGTTAGCTTCAGCGGCACTAAGCAGTACATCAGGTGCTGTGTACTCTTATCTCACTTATACTGTGACCACTGAAATGCACAGCTGAAAAACTCAAATGCCTGGTGGTTCCATAGCTACTCTGGGTCTGTGTTCTAGACTTACATGACTTGTATGAGATGGTGCCACTGTAATAGTGGAAGCAAAAAGAAGCCTTGTATTCTCCTGCTCAGAAACACTGCAAAAGCCTGGCCAGCAAAGCTGCTCTGTGGAGTAAGCCTCCCAGTCCACCCAGGCTGCAATGCCTGGTACAAAAGTCAAATGACGGTAACCACAAAGAATTGTCAGTGAGTTTTGTTATTAATACTAAAATAATGCAGATGAGGGTAAACGGAAGAATAAATGTCACTCCTATCCTCATGTACCAACTCCACCATTCCTAAATGGTGTGAAAGCAAGCGTTATCCAAAATAGTTTGAAGTCTGGTGAAAATACCTGACAGAAGCATCTGTGAAGTTTTATGACATTACTCAAAACCTGTAAACTCTTCCATGAACACAACAGACCACATTGGTAGTGATGCCAAAGAAGAAACTAAGAACAAATTGTGAGCAAATTTGATTATTTCATTTCAAAGATTATTTTTTTTCAAGAAAAGTAAGCAACCCTTGATTCAGAAGGAAAAAAGTACTGTGGATGGAGAGGTGTTTATTTCTATAGTGGTATCAGTCATCCATCAAGTCACCAGGAGTGATAATGGGTGGTGTTCTCCAAAGGCCTTCTTTCAGCACCTGTCTAGCAGAAGTGGAGTCTGCTCTGCCAAGAGTGTGCTTGTGACACTGAAATACGCATTTGGTTTTCAGCTACTATACCAACTGATCCTGCTTTTGATGATATTTAGAGTCTGAAAACCTTTAATAGAGGCATTAACGTTTTTGTCTTGAAAAAACCTTTTTATCACAAAAATATTACTCTTAATCCTCTATTTCTTTGGTAATCTCCTGTGACCAAAAGAGATTTTGGGGAAAAAATAAATCCAAAAAATTAATGAACTTTAGAAATTTTTCTTTTATAAGTAAACTGGAAACTCTATTAAATCCATTAGAACCTTGGTTACGGACAACAGTGAAAAAACCTCAAGAGACCTGGAGACTACTTGGCAAAGTTTGTTTGCAAGTAACCTGAAAAATTAGTAGATTTTGATCTTCCACATTTACTGAGAATGTTCTGTTGCACGTTATACCTATAAAGAGTGTCAGAAGTACCACATAAGACAGCCATTATTATTTTTATATAGCAAGGATGATATACAACTTGGATTCTGGACAAAAAGCTTTTGGCAACAGGTAGTTGTTCTTGTCTCTTCTTCTTTTTTTCCCCTGTTTTGGATCTGTGTCTCAGGTATTCAGAAACTGCCAAATATTAATGAATTGTCTGCACACAATGATTTGCAGAAAATTTGCTTACCTACAGATATATGTGGACATATGCAAGTCAGAGGGGATATACATAAACCTATCCCTTTGCTCCATCTTCATATATATTCTAACTTGATAAAGTGACCTATAATAAAAGTTATTCTGGGATTACCTTTATCAGTCAAACCTTTTTGAAATTCTTGTCTGATTTTAAAATCAGTGGGATGTTTTATATGTTGGACTCGATGGTCTCAGAGGTTTTTTCCAACCTAGTTGATTCGGTGATTCTGTGTGATTTTGTGTTAGTCTTCCAGTTAGTCTGCACTGTTAAATTATATAGTATATGGTGATTAGCCAGACCCAAGATAATGGAATTACTGACCTCTGTCACAGGGGGCTGGTTAAATTCAACTTGATTTTCAAGACCATGGTAGGCATCCTGTTTCTGGACCCCAAAGACCTCCTTGATATGAAGCACTGTTCAGCAGTAGTAGAATCACTTAAAGACACATAAGAATTAACCAACTGATGAAATAAATTCAACAATCTTTCTACACTATATCTTGGACCTTTGGAAGAAAGAAACAATGACCATGAACACTCTAGGCAAAATGTATAAACTTACTGCTGGGAGGTACCATGTTCAAACTGGAGTTCAGCACAGGCTTCTTTTTTTAAGAATAAGGACTGTGGAAACTGTTTTGAGGCAAGGAGAACAAAAATAAAGTTTAAATTAAATCCAAGTTAAGATGATGGGATGAAAACAGAGCATTGGGGAAGGTGAGTTTTGGAGGTGGGAGCTGTTAAACTATGACTTAATTAGTGACTGGCTCAGTAATTAAGACCAAAATACCTCTAGCCAAACCCCTCTATTAGCTTCCCTGTTACATGAACCAGCATGTGGTTATTACTGCTGTGGTTGTCTTTATTCACAAATTACAATCTCACTGTTGAAAGTTTACTACAGCTGGATTAACCATAGGCCTACCTCTCTTCTCACCATTCATTCTTCCTGTTCAGAAGCATCTTTTCAGGAGGCCACAGCTGAGTCCTTAAGAGGGCGTGGTTTCTCATCATCAAATATATGTGTTCTTTCTTAGCTGCTTCTTCCTTACCTGCTTTGTAGGACTCAGTATCACTTTGGTTTTGACTGTTCCTCTGTTGTTTTACATTTTGGAATAGACTTCAGGTTGTCCCCAGAACTTGCATATTGTAGTTTCTTCATCCCAGTGCTGCTTTTCTTCCCAAGAAAACACTTTCCCAGTGATGGCAATATGGGACATGAGCACACTGGTTTTTAAGTCTCCTGTTATGTAGTTGCATAGAAAAGGCAAATACCTGAATTACTATACTTTGTGTTGTGTGTAGGAATGAAAATTATGCTAATGAACTGTACTTTCTCATTTTCTCCTCCTCCCTCTGATCCTTCCCAGCCCCCCCATAAGCCTGGCATCTGCAGAACACCAAGCCAGAGTATTTAAAATTCTGTGTATGTTCTCTTCAGTTTTTAGCAAGGTGTTCATCCTAATTCTTGGAATTTAAATACAAATAAAAGGATGATAAGAGGTACTAAGTGTTGCATACTTTAAAGAATTAAGATACAATATTAGATTAAGTGACTATAAGTAGGGCTACAAGTTCAAGAAAATGCTTAGCAGACGTGTGGATCATTGCCAGAATTTCTATCCAAAGTATTAAACTCCCAGTTAGAGAGAGATTTCCTGATGCTCTGTTTTTTCCAGATGTTTCTGAGGATTTAGTTTCCTACAGGTCGTTTTGTATTCTACTGTGTGCTATTAAAGATGAATCCAAAAAAGATTTGGAATTTTGCATATTTTGTGAGCACTGACAAATTGTTAGAGAATATTAACTCTACTCAGCTTCTCTGAATTTAATGTAAAAATAAAAAATAGATTGAACAGGGGTTTGGTTTTTGGCTTTGTTTTGTTTTTTTCCTTTTATAAGTACAGAGTAACTGTTTTGGGTAAATTACACTGAGTTTGATGACTCCAGAAAATTCATTGTCTTTGTTTACTTTCTGTGTATTTAAATATGTCTTCAAATAGATGTCAGTGCTTAATATTTGATAATGTGACTACTCGGATGTGTAACTTCAGTAGTATTTTACAGTATTACCTGACAGCTCCAGCCAGTATTTAGGTTTAGTCATAATAAACAGGGATTTCGGGAGAGCTGTGTGATTTGAAGAAAAGATTCAGTTATCAAACATTAAAATACTGAAAGCTGAAATCTTTCTTGAAAGGTAAAATAATAACAGTTTGCTTGCATGCCCATTAGTTCCACATGCAGAGTGCAATTCTGGCTCATAGCAGAATAATTTCAAATAGGACAATAATAATCTTTTTCCAGCATGGCCTCATTATTTGGATGAAATATACTTGTTAACTTACACAGATGGAATAAATACAAGATAATCACAGGATCTGTGATGGCTCTAATCTAGACTGACAAACGGTTGTCTTGGTTATGAAAGCAATTCTAGAAATTCAGAGGTAGAGCCAACTGTCTTAGTTACTGGAATTATATGAACTCTGCAAAGCAATTTTCTTGAGGTATTAATTACTATTTGATTTAGATTTTATGCATATTTTAAACAAAATTACTTCTGGCCTTGCTGATGTTATTTGAGATCCCACTGGTATAACTCTAATCACAATTTTATAAATGTGCCTATTTGAAAGTGGGCTAATACCAACCCTTTCTTTTATTGAATGTATGAAAAGCTGCTTAATCTACCTGTATGGACAGAGGGTGACTGATGTTTCCTTTTAACTCTCTTCTTGCAAAACTGTTGATATATGCCTTGAAAGTGATTAATGCAGTGGTAGTGCTAGATATAACATCCCAGAAGTTCAATTCCTTTGAATTAGTACTGCATTTTTGTTAAAAGTATTTCTGGAAAGTTTAATATATAGATTGTTGTGATGAAATTGCTGTTCATTTAAAAGACTTAGAGTTAGTTTATTGCCTAAAAGAGCCTGTAAGTCTAATTTAAATAACCATCAACCTATTTCTTTTCGTTCTAACTTGCCCAAGATGGAAAAATAATGTGCATTTTAAAGTACTTTAAGCTGTCTCTGTATGCATTTAATATGCTGGTACTAGGAATATGGATTTTCAAGCTGTGTATATCCTGAGGTTTAATTAAGATTATTTTTTATATCACTATATATTAAATAGCTCACTGTTTAATAGAAAAATTATTCTTACAACTGATTTACCAGTTAAATATTTTCATAAGTTGGCTTAAGTAGCATTTTCAAATATGTGTATTTGGTATTTTTGTAAAAACTTTCTCTGAGCATTTGAAAACTCACAGGTTGCTCAGCAGCCCAATGGAATCTGTTATTTTCATTTTTGGATCACTGCATTTTGTAATATTTATTTTGTGGTCATAATTCTGCTCTAAGAAGGTTAGATAGCTCTCCCCTGGGGACATGGCCTTTGCAGTCAAAGCAGGTCTAGAATTAAATTATTTCGGCAGTCTCGTCTTTCCAAAGCATGAAGTTCACACAGTTCTCCGAGTCCCAGAGGCAGGAAAAGCTAACAGCCTTAATCAGTAGTAAAGCCCCAGCCTTTCATGTGGCAAATGAGGGCTGAAGTAAAGAAAGTAAAAGAACCATATTAATTTTTGAATTGTATTTAAAACAAAGAAATAGGCCCCACCCAGAAAACAGGATACTACAAATTTGCTCCAACAAGCTGTTCTAATGGGTCTTAATATGAGCACCATAGTGGTGCATTGTAAATCATGAATTTTATACTGTTTTCTGGAATTGGATTAATAAATTACAGACTTGTCATTCTTTTGTTTAATTTTCAATAAAATACGATGTATTTGTGAAGACTCAGGCTTTCACATAAAAAGTGGGAGTTTGCAAGACCTACTGGTAAATTTCAGAATCTCTTAAGAAACCTGAGATTAAAGTTTTAATGACCATAATCAGTAAAACAGTATATCATAAGCGAACTCTTATTTATGAGATTTCAGATTGTTGCATTAATGATTCCTAAAAACTTTTTTTTTGGATGCTACTAAAAATAATTCTTCATAAAAAAAAATTGTAGCGGGATGTGCTAATATGTTTAATAAACAAATGTTCACTTGATATGTTATTTTTGGCCATTCTAAATGAAATAGCTGTTGACAGTCAGCACTGAGAGCTTGTAATTTATCATACAATGAGCTTAAATGGGCCTGTTAAATACTGGAAAAGAAAATATTATTGGATTCTGCTCCAAATTTCAGATAGTTAACTAACCCATAAAAGTAACCACTGATTTACCTGAGTAGCTTACTGAAGTCACTGCAGTGTCAGAGAGAACAAAACATGAATCACAAATAAGAGCAGCAAAGCTTGATATGTGGCTGTAGTTACAACAGAAACAATTCTGTATTCATGTTATCAAATTATAAATAACTTTTTTCAGACGAGAAATAGTCTTTTGCCATTCCATTGCTGAAATAAAAGTTTGGGAGAGGTAGTAGCTGTGGGATTTTTTTTTTTCTGTGCAGCCTTTTTAACTCTCTCCTTCCATGCTTATGGATTGAACTTTTCTTATACTTGAATTCATTACCTTCCTTACTGTACCTTTATGCTTAGGCTTAAATCAATTAGGCAGCTCTCCTACTCATTTGCTGTTGTCCCAAAAGAAAGGGAAGACTTGTTCTCTTGAGCTGTATTTTTTCTGGTGGAAAAAACAATGATGTTTCTTAGTCTTTGTCTGTTCCAGACACTATGTTTTCCTTGAAAATATTTTTCCCAAAGAGACTAAAGAAAAAAATTGGGGCTTTTTCTTCATTGAGTTCTAGTAGAAAATGTCATGCTAGTGATTTCTGTGGGACTGTTTGAGTTCTAAGATATAATTAGCCACTCTACACTTCGCTTCTGTGAGTTTGTAAGGTTCAAGAAAAGTCAATCAAGATAATCTTTATTCATAATAATCTCACGTATATTTTACAGGTGTGTTATAGTAATAATAATAAAGGCTTTTTATTCCAGAGCTTGGCCATGAATTTTGAAGCCATCATTTATAATCTTTTTTCATCTGGATTTTGGTAGAGGATAAAAATGCTCAAATCCTCTGTAGAGCCAAGCTGAGTTACATTTAAGGCTCATGTACCTTCTTCATTTGAGCAAATTGTGTGCCTCTGAAATGTGCTTTGGCTTCTCTTTTTTTCAGCTAAAATTGTTGATATGTGAATGGATAGCATGTGTCGCAAAGCCAATTATTTGATCAAACTGAGACTTCCTGTTATAGAACAGCAGTTAAAATATTTGAAATCAGGCGATCAGTGTGTTCGAGAATCAGCAGAAGGTGAAAAAGGTTATGGGACCCAAGTGAGACAGTAATTTATTGTAAATGCTGCAATGCATTGATTAGCTACAATTTTCATTCTACATAGGCACAAAAAAGGTGGGAAATAATTCCTTATGGGGCTGGCTATTGAGTGGTTCCCTTTGAGCATTGCTGGTGCTTTATATGAAGACCAAGACTGTGTAGTTTAAGATTTCTACCAGCTGCTGGGAGGTCTGAGGGGCATGGTGTGGTAGTAGAAATTGTTGTTAAAGTATTTACATGGTTCTTCAATTGTGTTGTAATTCATGAGAGTCCTGGTAAATTCTGGATGCAGGTGCCCTGTGTGGAAGGGTGGATGTGCTGTGCAGGCTGGAGCGCAGAGGAGTTTGTTCACACTCTAAATGAGCTGAGCTAGTTTAGGTATTAGAATTAATCAGTATGTGGCAGTATGTTGTTCCCTAGAGAATAACTTAGCCTATTTCTTGGCAGGATGAAATAGCCTGTGTAAAGCTTCCTGATGTTGTGACTAGAAAAAAGGAAAAACTAGTGTGGTTGGATGTAATGTAAGCACATGACTTGGCTATGCACAAGATCCTTAAAGAGCCTAGAAGCTGTAGTAACATACCTTAAAATTGGTTTGTTGTTTGTGACTGATTAGCAGCTCTGATAATTAGGATTAATAAGTTATTGTCTTGGGTAAAAAATAATGTTGCTTTTAAGAAATATTCATTCTCCAAAATTCTAATTAACCCACTCTGCTTGCTTCCTGCTATCTGCAGCCACCCTCGCTGCAAGATATTACAGTGGCAAAACCAGTAAAAATAGTAGTTTTGAAATAGTAGTTTGAAATGTTTTTTTCCAAGTTTAGTTTTTGGTAACTGCCATGCCACATCACACAAGCTGGTTTATCGGCAGCTCAAAATTGGAGGAATTTTAAGGAGCTGTCAATTATTGAAAATAATTCTGAAGTAATAATTTACTACTGAGTAATTTTTAAGGCATGGTAGTACATTCTTCTTTGGCCATCTTACAAACATTTTTTTTCTTTTCAGTAAGCTTTGCGTCACCCACATTTGCTTTTGAAGAGGAAATAACTGTACCTTACTGTGCATGAGAATCGGTATTAATTGTTAATTGTATTGCTTTTTTGATGTTAACAACATGGTTAATTTGGCTTGGTTTTGTGGTTTATGGATGAGTTTAATTTTGTGTGATTGGTGTTTGAATCTCTCTAACTGGTTATAATTGGCATTTCAAGGGTGCTTCCAATATAGTGTCAAATAAAGGTCATAAGAAAATGAGATGAGTATTTCCTATGTCTTAAATTCTGCTGGACAAAATGCAAACTCTAGGGTAGAAAAAAAGATATCACCAGGTATGCTGATGGTTTATAGAAGGTCAGTAGTGCAGGACTCTTGACATGCTTGAAGCTCGTTCAGTCAGAAAAACCTACTAAGAATAACTGGTATCATTACATAGCATCAGACTATGCATGTTCCTTCATGGAGAGAGCAGATTTTGTGAGGTGCTTGTTGAGGTTTTCCAGTTTGTCTTCATGTTTGATAATGGCTGCATTCTTCAGTTTGTTGAAATATATGTATTTGTATAAAAAGTGCGTCTTTTTTGTTTGCTTGTTTGAGTAAATGTTATTAGATTTTGGTGGTGGTTGTTTGGTTTTTTTTTTTCCATATAGCTCTCATAATTCGATGATTACACATTTTCTAGGGGTTTTGGAGTGTTCATAGTGCACATATCCTATTTCATGGCTAGGCAGAGCATGAGTTCTGATGAGGATCCGAGAGCCAAGTCTCTTTGCCCTCAAAGAACATGGCAAATTGTCATCGCTGCAGTCTTCTGTCTTCTGCCCTCTCCTTTTCACTCTTTGTTCTCCTCGGCTGCTACATGGCTCATTTTCTTGTGCCATAAGTGTAGTATGTTGAATAGAGAGCAAGACACTGCACTGGAGTAGAAACTGCCTGGTTCCCAGTACCATGCTGAGAAAGTGAGAGGTAGAGACAGCTTCAGCCTTGCTGGTTATTTACCTGGTAAATCTGTACCTAGTTTCTTCTACCTGAGTTGCTTCTTCTACCTCATGTGCGTGCTGCCATGAGAAACATCCACTGATGTATCTGTGCACTGCATATGTGCAAAATGCATATGCCGAGTAGCAGATGCAGGGAGGGAAGAGAAAGCAGAGACTGACTATGCAGTGTTTCTTATTTCTTTAAAAGAAATGAATTTAAATATTTGTGTAAGACAAGCTAAGCACGTAAATATTATATTGCTCTTAAATCTTTCTATTAGTTAACCTATGAAGAGTTGAAAGCAGCTGTTCCAGATGAATAGTTGCCCACTCATGATGAATGGTTTAACTTATATGGGAAGGCAGTAAAGTCTCACACAGCATAAATGTCTGTAAAGTAACATACAGACTTGTGCTTTTACCTCGCCTCCCCTCTTGGGGAACTTGGGAGAAATAATACTGGTTGTCAGTATTTTTTTTAAAATATGACTAACAATATTCTTTATTTTTGTTTCGTTGCCTAGGGAATTTATGTAAGGGATGCACCTTTGAAGGACATAAAAGTGTTCAATGCTCGACGATTTGTAGCTCTTTTTAGTGTGGTAAATGCCACGAAGAGGGACGCCGGCAACTATCGCTGCATGATTCGGACAGAAGGAGGAGTTGGTGTATCAAACTATGCAGAACTGATAGTGAAAGGTATTTCATGATACAAATCAGTATTTGCATGCTCAGTGTATGGAATAAGGATCTGCAATGGCTAATGCAGTAATAATGTCACCCATAGCCTGATAAACTCAATCAGAGGTTCAACAAATAGATTTTGTTTATGTAAATCTTAAGAGTCTAGCCAACTGTAACACGGGAACGACAGAAGAATCCCGGGCTAATTAACTAGTTACTTGTTGATTGTTGTTTTAAATATTTCCCTCAAATGCACTGTTTAGAACTATACATCTTTCCAAGCTTTTATTTAAAAGTATGAACATAATAATGGCTCTTTGCCTCCTTTGTGGAGATTGTATTCTAAATATATACTTACTGCAAAATATGAAACATTCACATTAAAATGAACACATTAAAAACACACATTCTGGTATATGGAGGGGTGTTTTAGAAACTTTGGGAAACACTTAAATGTAAGTAGAATACATAGAGAACTCCACATCCTTACTATGGAAAACTGCACTAGAGCAATTTTTTAACATTCATTATATTTAAATTGCATTTTGATTGCTTCTTAGTTTTATATTAGTATTTTGGAGGAACAGGATTTTATTTTTGTTGTATCAGAGGCAGAAACAGATTCTTTAGCATCTAAGATGTGAAGCCATGTTGTGTTACAGAATCATAGAATATGTTGAGTTGAAAGGGACCCATCAGGATCATTGTATCCAACTCCTGGCCCTGCAAAGGACACCCCAACAATCACACCATGTGCCTGAGAGTGTCGTCGAAATGCTTCTGAAACTCAGACAGGCTTGGTGCTGTGACCATTTCCCTGGGGAGCCCGTTGCAGTTCTCAAGCACCTTTTGGGTGAAAAATCTTTTTCTGATATCCAGCCTCCCCTGACTCAGCTTCATGCCATTTGCTCGAGTCCTCTCACTGGTCACAAGAGGGAGGAGATCAGTGCCTGCCCTGCCACTTCCCCTCATGAGGAAGTTCAAGACTGCAATGATATCTCCCCTCAGTCTCCTCTCCTCCAGGTTGTCTGCTCTTCTCCAGGCTGAACAGACCAACTGACCTCAGCCACTCCTCATACAGCTTCCCCTCAAGGCCCTTCACTGTCTTTGCTGCTCTCCTTTGAATGCTCTCCAGAAGCTTAATGTCTGTTCTTATATTGTGTTGCCCAAAACTGCACGCACTTTGCTGAAGTCCAGAAGCATTACACCTGCTGGCTTTCCTAGATCAGCTAGGTGGGTTATCCTCTTGTAGAGGGAAATCAGGTTTGACAAGCAGGACTTTAGCCTCATGAAGCCATGCTGGCTGTAAATGATGACTGTGTTGTCCTCCAGGAGTTTTTCAATACCTCCCAGAATAATCTTTTCCATGACTTTACCAGGCACTGAGGGGCCTGTAGTTGCTGAGGTCCTCCTTTTTGCCCTACTTGAAAACCAGGACAACATTAGACAGCTTCCAGTCAGCTGGAACCTCTCCAGTTAGACTGGGAAATAATCCATCACCAATAGAAGAAGATGCAAGAGAGCCATAATGAAGGATAGACCGTTTTCGAAAACCAAGAATATGGTTTTAGTGAATGTGTTGTAGAGAAAATGAAGAGGAACAAGACAGGACAAGGATGTTGCAGATAACCAGGGTATGAAGATAAAAGGACAAAACAAATTGTAGTATGAAAACTTAGATGATCTATTTGAATGGACAGATGAAGAAAGAAACAAATAGAATGGGTGAGATGAGAATATAATTATAAGGCATGGTGGAAAAAATGAGGTCATTTCAGTCCACGAATGAAAACGAAATAAAGGGGTAGGCCAAATGTGTGTGTGTGTGTGTGTGTGTATGAAAGTCAGCAAAGAAAGGAAGCATGGACTATAACCCCAGTAGGAATGATGAAGAATCTTTCAGACCTAACGTGAGTGAAAACAAGGAAGAAAAGAGACTGCCTGAAGGAGGCAGATGGAGGAGTTACTGCATCAGTGACAGGAGGCACAGGGAGCCGAAGGAATTAGCTTTTTTTCAGTTTCTTTGATTCAGGGTGTTTTATTTTATTAGTGCTCTTTTTGAGGTACGGTAGATGAAATTATGAAACGTATCATTAAAGTATTTGTGCCTACCCAGATTCCTTCAGAAAATTTGCACTGGGCACTGTGAGCAAATCAATAGCCTTAGGGTGTAATCCCATTAACTACTTGTAGAGTGGCAAAGTAATTATGGTAATCCCTATTGGCTGTGTTGGAGCTTTTATGAGACCACCTGCAGGTCATTCCTTCTGACCTAAAAAGACCCATTTTGAACATTGTGCTCTAAAACCTTAGATGACTACGCTGAAATAACAGCATTAGGGGCTAATTAGTAAATATGCTTTCTTACTGATGGCATATAATTCAGAAATTGTATTTCCTAATTTTTAGCAGCTTTTTCAAGATAGTGGATTGATTTCAGTGCAGCTATATATTTTTTTAAATCCATTACCATCAATAAATCATGAAAAATGTACATATACCCACACTGCATGTAATGCTTAGTATACTTGGGAATTACTGATGGCTTAATAATAGTATGTGTAGAAACAGTGGTGTAATTACTCCCCACTCTTTGTTACAAACAATGAATTTAATTCTCATTTACGCTGGTGTAACTAAACTGACTTAAGAGGAATTTCTCTGTATTTACACTACTAGGATGACAGGAGAGTCAAACTGAGCATTTGTAAGTTAAAGAGAATCAGGTCTTCTCATTTATCATGCTCTGTTTCATTCTGGTTACTGAACTTCTAACTCAAGTTTCAAAAAGTAAGTCCCGCACTGCAGTAGAGCTTTTTTCAAAATATATTTGCTTTCGAGTAGAGACTTTGCACGGTAGAATGGGTTACAACTCCGTACAACACTCATTCTACTTCATTGTAGAGATAGTTTCACTAAATAAGAACTTACTTTAAGTAGATTCTGATTATGTATGTAAACTTCTTTAAGGTTTGTAGTTCTGCTGTGGCATGATGTTGTGTGGCACTGGGTACCAGGTACCAGAACCTTTGAAATGAGCTGAAGGTCTTCTAGTGTCAGGTGCTGCAAACCAAACCTGAAATCACAAAAGAATAGGAATGAAATCTTTCAAATGAAATATATGTCAGAAACTATCAGATGTGATTTTTTTCTTCTTTTTTTTCTTCTTGTTTTTTTTTACCTGAGCAGGCACATTATAGCAAGGTTTCATCAGTATGGAGGGAGAAAAAAGCTGAATTAAAGAGCTGTCAGTTAATCCCATGTTCTCTTATTAAAGAATTGTAAATATGAATATTGTCTAGTTAATGAGAAAAGGGCTGTCAGTGAACAATTAGTCTGGCCTTAAACAAGGGAGAAAAGGGGATTTTTTAAAAAAAACTTTTTTGTGTTATATGCCTTTTAGAGGATGGTGAAATAAAGTATTGATTGCTCTATTTAAATAAATCCTTAAGGGAAGGTTTTCAATTTACCCAAGTGTTTGTTCTGATAGGAAAGGCTGAAAAGACAAGTGCCTTGTCATTGTGTGTGCTCAAACTGCACAGTATCCTCATCTAAGTTTGTCAGAGAATTGGATTGAAATGTCACTTTAGCTATTGGGAGACATGAAATTGGCCTTGTCAGATCACCCACTTATTGTAAAAAATGGCAGTTCGTATCTAATAGATGACATAAAAGTAATCAAACATTGAGCAAAAGGAAAATAGTAGGGTGGAATTGATTAAATGTATTTGGTGAAGTAAATTAGAGTTCTACATATGGTCCTTAGGTTGAATTTTTATAATAGTGGGCAGATCCAACGCAGATTAGATTTAGGAGAACAGAATGAGCCTGTCTGAGCAGACATCAGATTATTACAGAGTTCAGACTGCTTATTGAGTTCAAACAAGGCAAACCTAGGTGTCAAATTGGTTAAAAGGAGTTTGGTTAGGTTTTTAAGCAAGGGCATAGAAAGGTAGCCATCTGTAATGCTGGCAGCTTAAATGTCTACATTTTCCAAATGAAAAATTTAACACCGGGAACAGAACCAAACCCCTTCAGGACCTCTAGAGCAAAGAATTTATTCTGGAGGGCAAAGTCATTTTGATATCGAGACACAGTAGGAAAATATTAACAATTGCTTATCTGTGGTATCAGTTATTCTCATAAATTAAAAATACACAGATATTTGACATTTGTTTTTGCTCTCTGCCAACTAACCTTTCATGCTGGATCCGTCAGTCTGTACCGCTTTTTTACAAACAGCGCTGGTATTAGGACTTATTTTTATGGTTGCCTAACAATTCCTATCATGAAGTTCAGCTTTCAGATGCTCCTATTTTGGCAAATTGACTTGAGAGTTGTATTTTTCAGTCTAGATGTGTGCCTCAGCCTGAAGATTTTGAAAAACCTACAGCCAAAGCAGCTGATACAGTTCATCCATCTTAGCAAACTTGCCACAGGAAAGCTCTAAAGACTCTGAAGCAGTAACATTTTTTCAGAATGGTACTAGTTGTGTCAAGAATGCTGTTTTTCTGTTCTTGTGAAAGTCTGTTCTCAAGTATAGTCAGTTTACAAGCTACTAAATAAAACCCACCAAGACCCTGAGACTTCCTGGAGTTAATCTCTCAGATTACCCCCAAATTCTAGATACAATGAATGGAAGTTAAAGGCAAGCAGTGATCTGAGCTCTTCTGGAACAGGCTGGATCCAGGCACAGGAATCAAAACCTGTGAGCTTACCATTTCTGTGCTTTTAGTGTGCAGTCCTCCATTTTGCTGAACCCTTGAACTGTGAGGGTAAAATGGTGAGATGCATGATGTGGATAGCGCAGAGTGCAAGAGCAAGAAGCTGCATACCCTGATGAAATTATTAGTTTTGGGACTGAAAGGTATGGCGTACTAGGAGGTGTTTTGAAATAAAAGGGAAGGTAGGTGAAAATTGGGACTACATAAACACTAAAAGCTGGGGAGAAAAACATGGGGGCACTGGTCGACAGCCAGCTGAACATGAGCCAGCAGTGTTCCCAGGTGGCCAAGAAGGCCAATGGCATCCTGGCCTGTATCAGAAAATAGAGTGGCCAGCAGGACCAGGGCAGTGATTCCTCCTCTGTACTCAGCACTGGTGAGGCTGCACCTCAAGTACTGTGTCCAGTTCTGGGCTCCTCACTGCAAGGAAGGCATTGAGGTGCTGAAGCATGTCCAGAGAAGGACAATAAAGCTGGTGAAGGGTCTGGAGAGTAAGTGGTATGAGGAGCAGCTGAGGGAGCTGGGGTTGTTTAGCGTGGAGAAAAGGAGGCTCAGGGGTGACATTACTGCTTTCTACAACTACCTGAAAGGAGGTTGTATCAGCACGGGGGTCGGTCTCTTCTCCCAGGCAGCTAGCGACAGGACAAGAGGAAATGGCCTCAAGCTCTGCCGTGGAGGTTCAGGTTGGACATCAGGAAAAATTTTTTCACTGAAAGAATGGTTAAGCATTGAGGCAAACTGCCCAGGGAGGTCGTGGAGTCACTATCCCTGATTCTATGATTGTGTGACAAAAAGTGGAAGATAAACATATATACAAACATGCATATGCAAAAAATGGGGCCAGGAAAAAGGAACTATCTGGAAAGGATAACTTTCTATTGCAGGAGGGGAAAGGATGCTAGGAGAGGCATGGTTAGAACAGCAGCAGACTGGATGGCAAGGAGAGGAGCAGGCACAGAGCTTATTGATAAAGCCTGAGGTAAAAAATAACACAAACAAACCTGGAGTGGAAATTTAGTGGTATTTGTAATATGGAGGTGGTGACCATAGTGTGGGGAGAAAAAAACTGAGCAAAGCTGAGAAGAAGAAAGGTGGATGGGTTTAGACCACTGAAGTAAGGAGATGAGGATGGAGCGAGTGCAGTGCAGGCTGAGACACCTCTGTCTTAAAAGGGAGGTGGCATGTCTGGAGTACACAAGTCGGAGCAATTGAGTTTGGGAGGAATCCTGTTTGGGAAAGGAAACTATGCTAAGTTAGGGATGAGTGGTAAAAGTACTACTACTGCTACAGAGCTTAGCAGGATATTTACTAATGTGTCCAGCTAATTAGATTGTACCTGCATAGGCTTATAAGTGTACAGTACAAGGACCCTTGGGATTTTTTTTAAATTTTAAAATATGTATAAAATAGAACAATGACATTTTCTTAAATGATGAATTTACAAGTAATTTTAGGAACATTAGGATACTGAGTCACATCAAGTTTTCATCCTGAGCAGTCTCAGTAAAGGAACAGTGTAAAGTTAGCTCACATATTATCCATGATACTGTTTAGAGATATTGTTTAATTAAATAGTTTGGCAGGAATTATTTCAAGATTTTAAAAAAAAAGAATTGCATGAAGAGCTGTGGTGTTTCAAAATCATAGTCATGTCTTTTGTTATCATTGAGGTTATTTGTTGCCCTTTATCCAAAGTTAAATGTTGCAAAAAGGCACTGTTCTCCATAGTTTTTAAAGGGATGGAATAATTTGCATGCTCAAAAGAGGGGCACAATAATACATATGCATAAAAAAATAGAGAGGAAAATGGGAAAAAATAGTCTTAATGCAGTTCAGTTGATTTCAACAGTATAAATTTGTAATTATTTGATTAGTTTTATAGTAATTAAGATAGAGAATATCATGGCATTGTCTTTCTAATAGTTACTATTTAGTAAGGTGAATCAGCTTGCAGGACAAATATTTCTTCTGTGTTCCTCCACAAATGTAGCATGGCTCCACCTCCCACTCTGTACAGACTCAAAAGAAAAATCGAAAATGCTATTTTTACTATTGAATTAGGGTTTTGTCATTTTTCAAGTTAGTGGTTCTGAGCCACAGAGAAGTAATGTCTATTATTTTGATCTTCTTTAACTAAAATCTTAGAGATTTACATTATCTCCACTGGCATCTCTGTGTGGTGCCTTTTCCCTCCCAGTTAAAATTTTAAAAGAACTGCAAAGCATAAAGATGTTAAGATATTGTAGAAGATGTTTGGAAATTCTGTATAATTTAAGTACAAAGCAATTTAAGTGAAGGAGTTGTAGTTTCAAGTATGTTTTCAATTAATATAGAAGTGCATAAGAATAAGTAGTTTGCATGCATGTATGGCTACATTTGTTTTTATCCTCCACGTAAGACAAGGGTTGCTCCTTATCATAAGGGTTGTCTTTTTCTCTTACTTAATATAAATGATCCATTTGTGTGGGGTGACAAGAGTATCTGCCTGAAGCATCTAGCTTTGTAAGGCAGCCATTATTTTCTTTCCATAAAGGGTTGTGCCCATCATAATTTGTCATAGAATTCAGGAAGAGGTCACATGTCTGTCCAAAATCTAAAAAGTGTAAAAGTTGCATATATGGGTAAACTTACCTTGGTTTTTTTTGGTTAATATTCTATTTTGAAAACCATTTTTTTAAGGGTTTTACAGTACTGAATAGCTTTGTTTATTACTTGCTTCGGTAGAGATCTGCAAGGAAGAACTATTTAAGCTAGGTCATTCTACTAAATAGCCACTGCTACAAACTTATTTCTGCTGTCAGTTCCAATTCCTTCCCTGACCATACACAGCTGTAAGATCTCAGGTTTATTGTGCCATTTTATAAAGGTATTAATTTGCGTGGTAGTTGATTGAGATTGCCCCACTGGCAACCATAAAACTGCTTTTGGTGAAAGACAGTAGTGCTGCAGTGTGGTACTGACCTAAGTGATTCAAACTCCTCAGTATCCTGAAAAAAATAAATCATTCTGTCTAAAGAAAGCATAAATGAAAAAGACAGTCATGAAATTGGTTCATCATATTTCGATATGTAGTGCTTGTATTAAAGAATCTATTTACCTGAGTCTTATGTTTTTAACAGTCTCTCAATATAGGCATCATGTTTGTAATGAAAGGTTGATTTTATGTAGTCTTGATCTCTGGTAAGAAGACAACTTTTAGTATTAAACTATGCTAATGGTATTAAACTGAACTATATGTGGGTTTTGCTGAAATAATGCAGCTTGCATTACCCTTTGGCATTGTGGCCATAGAGAAATGAATAATATGCCCTGAGGTATAAGAAGACAATAAAATACCGTCTATTCCA